TCGTCGCGGTCCTCGGCCTCGTCGTCAAAGCCCGCAAAAAGACTGCTTGATCTGATGGGCCGGGGCATATTTGAAGCAAAGTCCCTGGTGAGAGGTCCGTTGTCGTTCAGAGGAGGTATTTTGGAGGGACCCGCCACGGTCGAACGCCTGGAAGCGAACATGGTAGTACCTGGAGATACCCTCGATCGAGGTATCGGCGGTGGTGGTGCGGCTCTTGACGAAAGTGGCGGCCTATAATGAGCCGACAACGGTCCAGGTGGCATTTCGGAGGGTGGGACAATGGCTCTTATATCAACTCGAATTTCTTCGGTCTGCACCGAAGAGGACTTGTAGAGTCCAAGGAGTTGGCTAGTGACCTGGCTTCCTGCGTTCTTGGTTCGGGGGGGTAGCACAACATTAGTTTCAGGTGTGGCAGGTCTTGATCCCGGAGGAATTATTGCGATCAGGGGCACCTTGAGATCTAGAGTTTCCTCACTTCCGGTATGCTTGTGGCTGAAGTTCTCGAAGACGGGTAATGCAGGCTCGGTCTGAGTCCCAATGGTGGCGGTTTCGACTCGTTCCAAGGCACTTTCGGGAATTGTGGCCAGTCCAGCATCGCGCTTGTCAGGTGTCAACGGCGGACTTGGGAGAGCTTCGACAGTCTGGCAGGCCGATGACACCATGATAGGTCGCTGCTTGTCCCATGAAATATTGACACTATCCACCGGACTGGCTGGGCTTGGGGTAACGTTCACTTGTCGGGCGTTATTCCCAACTGAAATCTCTGCGGGCTTGTGTCCGTTAATCTTGGGCTGCGTTTCCATCACGGGCCATGGTGAAGCCGGCGGGGAGAACTGAATCGCGGTATCCACGTATCTGACACTCACGCGGCTTCGACCGCTGTCCAGCGACATGACACCAGCACGATCATGGTCTGGACTGTCATTACGTTCCATGTCTCCGAAGTCGACAGGCAGACCCAAGACTTTTCTGGCTTTGATGGACAGACTTGACGCTGGGCGAACGTGCTCCTCTGGCAACGCGTCCGGTGAGACACGCCCATCTTCGTTGTACTGCGCGTTCAGCATGTCCTCTTCCATTTCGTCAAAGGCGAGTTCGTCTGCTAGATTGACGGAGACACCGTTGTGGAAACTCAAGACCGAAACTCGCCCACCGTGCGTGTCACTGTTGACGGACGTAGCGCTATGTCGTCTTCCTCTCCGAGTCATGATCGAGCCTTTGCTTGGGCTCTCCATCATGCTATTCCGGCTGTGTGCACGCTCGGTCGGAGACACGGGAGCTGCTGCGTGGTGCTGTGCATTGGCAAGCTCACTGAGCACTACTTTTAGACGACCCTCGGCGATGTGTACCCTCGTCTCCAGTCCACGCTTTTCGGCAAGCCATGTTTCCTTGTCTCTGTCCCATAGGGATTGGGTCCTCTCGGCCGTCTCTTCTTGACCTTTGGTCTTCTTCTGGTTCTGTTCGAGACGCTTTCGTAGATCTGACACGTCGCTCAGGGCCTCATCGCGTTCCTTCGCTAGCTCGTTGAGTGCAGAGAGAGTGCCGCCTTCGAGAAGCTGCATTTGTCGTTTGGTCGATCTGGTCTCCTTGTTCGCCTGGAAGAGGTTGTTGCTAAGGACCTCATTCTGGGTCTGGGCAGCATGAAGACTGATTTCCAATTTCTCGATATCATTGGTCCTACTCTCCAGGTCCCGTCGCAGCGACAAAATCTCCGAGACCAACGAGGCGTGCAGCGTCGGTGTGAATCTTCTTGGGTCGAGGGGGGATATGTTCTCGTCCAGCGCAGGATTGGAATGGAGGGAGTCATTACTTCGTCTCTTGTTGGCTCGCTCATCGGGCATTGGCGGGGGCGTCGATGAGGGCGACATGTCTTCGTACCGGCGCGAACGAAAGGATTGCGAACTGGACGGCGTTCGATACGGGGTATCGGTGGGTGACGGCAGCGAATAGCTGATCTCGGGGTCCATTACTCCGTATGTCTCGACCGGTGCTGTGCCGTTGGCGGCTCATGTACACAGGCGAGGCTCACAGAGCATGCTCTTCTGCCCCCCGGGTCGGCTGGTCGTGTTATGTCACTGGAGAGGTGGCTCAACCCAACAGTGAACTTTCATGGCAGTGCATGACGTGGGAGATGAACTGACCGCGACCAAATCGAGTCCGAAATCTGCGGAATGCCACGACAGGCCGGGGATTGGGTTCGATAAACAGCGGTGAGGGTGGTAGATGTCAAAATGCAACAAGTTCCGAAAGAACAGACACAGCAACCAGGCTCATGCAGGCTCATGCGCAGGCGCGTCAAGTACCCAGAGAAACGGATGTAAGTGATATGATTGTCAGATAGACAGGAGATGCTGGTTCATCTGAAGGAGCCTAGTCTCGAAGGGGTTTGCGATTGACGACGATGCTGGTCGAGGCGAGAGACGAGAGACAAGATGGTCGACGAGGGCAGGCCTGCTTCTCTGCCCTGGGATGAGTGTCACTGGAGGAGGGCTGCCTATACGATTCGATGCAAGCCCACCTGTGTCTGGAGGAAGGATTGGGCCGTGTCGCGTTTGCAGAGGCAGCGGAGCCGTGGCCGATCAGCCAGCATCGGTGCCAAATTGGTCAACGGCACGATTGGCCAGCAGCAACTCAATCGCGGGAAAATCATTGTTCAGGGGCATCGCAGTGGGCAAACGGGCGTCGGACGACCAGGGCCTGCCGCAGTGGATTGGGCGAGGTGCAGCCTGTCGTTGGAGAAATGCTTTCGGGAAGAGGACGCCGCAGGGCGCGGGGCGGCCACCGCCCAAGCAAGACCCAGGCTTTGGAACGCGCATCCGAAAGGCAGTTTTAGCCTGGGCGCAGCACGAGCCCGAGCGCGGATTTGCAGGCTGCGCGCGGGCGACGGTACCGAATTCCTGGTTCCCCCGGCACACCACGGCTTCAGCGTCCCACACGCCCAACATCTGAATGCTACGAGAATAAAACTCACTGTCTTCCCACTCGCTACTCAGGTCGCTCACACAGGCGACATGAAGAGGGGTCGACGTCGGTAGTGACGAGCGTCGAGGTCGTGCTGCCAGTCGCTGAAGACCACTGCAGGTCCGATGGAGCTAGTGAGATTAGCGCCCCGTAGGCCAGTTTTAGGCTCCCGGCCCGGTCTGGAGTCAAGTTCCTGGTGGCCTGTCTAGCTCTGACTTGGCCGCCCAGGGCTTGTTTCAGACTCCCCACCGCCGGAGCATTTTGGGACGCCAGCCTTTCCGTCTTGGTGAGTAATGAGGCCACCGTCCTCGCGCTTGCTATTTGCGAGTGTGTCAAATTTACCAATCTCCTGGGAAGAGCTTTTCGTCTCCGAAGCCCACAGGTCACGACGTTGAGCTGAACGACGGTGTCCCAACCGTCATGACAACGAAGAAAACTTTAAGGCGTGGTCGAGATCAGGACTGGCCCAGAGTGATTGTGTGACCGTCCGGTACTTGCGCCTCTATCACAATTGGGCCTCGCTCACGACCTCATGCACCGTCCCTGTAGCCGAACCAATTCGCCTGTGCTCATCGGCATGAGGCATGAACTGTTCCCACCCGCAGACTTCGGGCCCTACCCAGTACGAGGGACCCAGCAGTCGTACCCAGTAGTCGGCACACCGGTTTAGGCACCTGCTGGAGGTTTTGGGCCGAAGTGAGGACGTCTGTGCAATGCCTGTTCCCTCACTTCGCTTGCAACCGTCATCATCCTGCTCCCGATTACCCCGTACGGAGTAAGATGACCTCAATCATGTCGAGTCGAGTCAGACCTCTTCACAGAGTACGGAGTACATATCGCAGGGTCTGTCGACGTCGTAGTCGTGGCTATCCCTGGCCGACCCCAGTGCCCGAAAAGTGAGTTCGGTGGGCGCAGAATGCCTGCGTCGATCAATTCATGTCGCACCCTGCGTATGATCTTGGGAAGTGAAAGCAAAGAGGTCGTAGTTGCTCGGCTGCGAAACTCTGTCGAAAAAGGCAGAATTACCCTTTCGAACTGGTGAGGTGGGCGAGAAGTTTTGGTCACACTTCGGTAGCATCACAGTGCTACCTTATCAACAATCACGCAGGTGTCTTCTGCAAGTGCGTCTTCTTCATCACATCGAACCATGTCGATTGCCGGTTGCGAGCACTCTCACTCTTCACATGCTGAAACATGCCACATTTTCGACCCCTCCTTGTGGCTTTTGGTGGCTTGCAAACCGGACTCGTGTTTGAGTGCTTCTCGTGGCCGCTGATCGCAACCTGGCACGCCGTGCAATGGAAGTGGCCGCGTTGTCGCTAGCCTTGGCTTAATCAACAGAAAATCACGAGCGCGCCCGCGTGTCGATCATTCTGGAGCCTGTCTCCCTGTCATGGGAGAAGCCGGGCGTTGTGGTTTTGGAACATGACAGCGCCACCCGTCAAAATAGGCGGGGCGGTGTTGACCCTCACCACCAGTGCGACCTGCTGTTGTTTGCCTGCCTGCTACTGTACATAGCTCGTACGTCTTTCGTGCGCTGCTGCAATATGGAACACTCTGACACCACGGCCGGTAGATATCGGGTATCGACCGGTAAGCCGACGGCAAAGAGCAGGCTCAGGATACCTTGTGAGCGTTGTGAAGAACAACATCACCGGCGCGCCTCCGCCCACGCTGTATGTGTCCCTCGCGCTCGTACAGTACCTGCCGAGGTCGAGAATTGTCATCTTTCTCCAAATTCAACTGTAGCCCCAGCATCAAACTCTACGGGTTTCCAGCGGAGATTGTGCTGCATGCGTGCATGGTTGAATGTCAGAAGCGTCATCGTCCTTCATCGCCAGAGATTCTTCCGGATCGTCCACTCCGCGCGGAAGAAGCTTTGACCATTATTAAGGGCAGCAACATCTGGATATACTATATATCTGAGATCGTACTGGGTACAGTTCAGATAGCTAAGTCAATCCATTCCCACAGAGTACTGAACTGTTCGTCCATGCGCTCTCCTGGTTCCCATAACTACAGTAAAAACCCCCCTCGTCATGTCCACCACCAATCCCCCGAAAGCGCTCCTAACAGACGTCTTCGGCACGGTCGTCGACTGGCGCAAAACCGTGACGGACTACCTCACCCGTCGCGCCAGCGAAGCCCTCAACTCCCCCACGTCGTCAATACCCAGCGCCGTCCGCACGGCCGCAGCGGGGATCTCGTGGCCGGACGTGGCCCAGCTCTGGCGCATCTCCTACTACAACTTCACGCGCACGTACGACCCGGCCGAGGCGCAACGCGATCCCTCCAAGTTCAAGACCGTGGACCAACACCACGTCGAAGCCCTGCACAAGATCCTGGTGGACCACGCGCTCGAGGGCCTGTGGACAGACACCGAGGTCGAGAAGATCGCCCTCATCTGGCACTTTCTCAACCCCTGGCCGGATTCCTCGGAGGGGCTGGCCAAGTTGAACGCCCGCTTCGAGACCGCGACCCTGAGCAACGGCAACACCGCCCTCCTTCGTGACCTCGCCTCCCACGGCAGCTTGCCCTACAAGCATATCCTCAGCGCCGAGGATTTTGGCGCCTACAAGCCGCACCCGTCCGTGTACCTGGGCGCGGCGGAGAAGGTGGGCTGCAAGCCGGAAGAGTGCGCCCTCATAGCAGCGCATTTGGGCGATCTCAAGGCCGCGAGAGGATGTGGGTATCAGACGATCTATATTGAACGCGAGAAGGAGGAGGGGTGGAGTCAAGAGGAAACCAAAAGGGCCCAGGATGAAGGCTGGGTTGACATGTGGGTTGGTCTCAACGAGGGAGTCGACGGCGGTGGCTTTCTCGAGGTTGCGAGACGGTTTGGCATATAACACAGGGCGCGAGTAGCATACCATCAATCGCACTCTATGTTTCGGCGGCTGTGTCTGGGCAAGTCGGACACGCACAGGCCACAGTACAAGTTGCTGAGCGTCATCAGCTACTGCCGCACTTACTCCCTTGCTACTGTACTGTAACTCATTCAATGCGTGTTCATCTGCATAAGTCTATCTGGAAGAGTGTCGTCATGGTGGCATAGCATGGCATGGCATTACTATCTTTACGGGCTTTTGATCTCGTTTGTACAAATTCTCAATCAACCCAACAGCCTGGAATTGTGTGCTCTGAATCTCACAACCCATCTTAACACAGCACTCTGCACACCACACTCGATATCGGATTCGAGATCCGCTTCACATTCCTACCTTGCGAGCTTACTTCCACCAAGAAACATCACTCCTTGGTTGCTCGTTGCTTTTGGCTCATCCTCCATTTCACGAGCGTCTTGCCCTGCCTCTGATGATCGATCCTCCACTCTTGTCCTAACTTTATAGTCACTCACAAAGCCAGATGGATAGGAGGCGCTCCGGCCTTCTTCTCCGCCTTCTTCGCAGCCTTGTACCACTTGGCATTCGCGTCACTATAGGTGGTCCGCCTCTTGATCATCCTCCTTGGGATGAATTCGCCATTCTCGTCAAACGCGTCGGCATCGTCAACCTCGTCGCCACCGTTCCTCGTGCTGGCGGGGCTTCCCACACCGGTCGTTGCGGCTGCGGTTGTGGGTGTCGCGACGCCGTCGTCAGGGTTCACAGGAGAGTCGACGTCCGCACCGAACAACGCCCCCATGCCTTCTTTGTCGCCGTGCGCGGAGAACGGGTTCCCCGAGCTGGTATTCAGCCCGGCAGGTAGGTCTGCGATCGTCAGTCCGCTCAGCTTGCTGCCACTGCCGTTGATAAGGTCCTTTTCTTCTTCGTCGGTCAAGGGCTCGATGTCTGGGATGGGTCCGCGCGGGAGGATCACAGGCCAGCCGAGATCGGTGCCGCCGTGGATCTGGCGGCCCTTGGCCCGGAGGTAGCCGTATTTGTACACCTCGAAGAAGGTGGTCTTCTTGAAGACGCCGCCATTGGTGTGGTCCGACGTGTCCCAGTACAGATGACGCAGCCATTTCGACAGGCGAGGGTAGTCGTGCCGGATCATCTTAAGGTTGCAGTTGAAGATGTTGTAGTATGCGACGTCAAAACGCGCAAGCGTGGTGTACAGTCTGATATCGGCCTCGGTGATGTATTCGCCGAAGAGGTATGGTTGGTGAGCAGGGGCTTTGAGGTGTTCCTCCAGCCGATCGAGGGATTTGAACAGTGGGTAGATGTTCTCGTCGTATGCTTCTTGCGATGCGGCAAAGCCGATCTTGTAGACCCCGTTATTGACGGTGTTATAGACCCACTCGTTCATCGCATCAATTTCTTTGCGCAGGTGCGGTGGATAGAATCCTCCGCCAGGCTTGTTGACTTCCCGCTGGTCAGGCTCCAGGAAGTCATCGAACTGGTCATACAGCATGCGGATGATCTCCGAGGACTCGTTGTTCACAATCGTCTCCGTCTTCTTGTCCCATAGCACTGGCACTGTGTAGCGGCCCGTGTAGGTCGGGTCGGCTTTCAGATACAGCTGCTTCAAGCCGGTGAAGCCATACAGAGGGTCGGCACCCATGCTGCCATTGCGGCCGGTGAAGGTCCAGCCATTCTCGGTCAGGTCGAAATCGGTGGTGATCAGTTGGATGACGGGCTCGAGGGATTTGAGGCTGCGGACAATGATGGTCCGATGGGCCTAGGCGTCGTCAGTCCTCATATTCGACGTGGTTATTTAAGGGCGCTAGCTTACCCACGGACAACCATAGTTTGCGTAGAGTGCATACCGATCTTTCTCAGGCGTGAATTTCGAACCTGGCTCCTTCGAGATCCAGTTACGGAACTGGCTGTCTTTCCGTCGAAAGTGGCCATCGGCATCGGCGTGCTGATGCGTCGGTCTCTGAAGAGGAGAGGTCAATTTGTGCCATAGCGAACAGCGAGGCCAACACTCACCGAGTCGCCCATTTTGTCGGCTTGATGCTGTAACAGTCCACGATGGTTATCGGGATAGAGCAGGGCGGAATAATCGCGAAAGCTGTGCGGACCTTGGTGGGATAGAGGGTTCTCTTTTGGTCTATTCACAGGAAGTGATTGTCCTGTCCTGCAGCAGCTGGGACACAGAGTTCAAAACAGAACTCGAACAATATATGCAGTCGCGAAAGGCTTGCACAACTATACGACAGCAACATCCATAGAAGAGAACAGAGAGGATTTCAAACTCAACTTGTGTCTTGCACAGGTCAATTGTTCAGCTGAACATTATGTCTCAGCCCTCACAAGCTCCCGGTGGTGCTTACTCAACTGGCTTTCAGACTCTCCGCGTCCAGTTCCGCCCCGCAGCCGCACGTCGGCGTGCACGTGAAGGAGGCTGGAAAGAAGCTTCGGAGGCCGGATTTCTCGTTCGAGCCTTCTGGGCGGCGAGCTTCTGGCCATCTTGCCTCGTATGGGACGTTGGGGGCTGAGAGCTGTCCTCCCGCAAGGTCTGGCTGGCCCATGGTTGGCCGAGGCGGTGAGCATCAGGAACCCTGCAGACGTCATCGCAACATCGCCCTCACCGGTGGCTGACCGGTAGCTGACAAGGGAGTTATCATTCTTCATATTCGGTCCCTGGTGCTTTCAAAGACACTCTTCTCATCCAATGCGATACCGCAAGGTCTGGAGGATGTCGATATGTAATGGGAAGGACGAAAACAAATACTTATGACGGATCAAGAAGGTAGACCTCCTCGTCCATGATCTCATCCCTCGTCCTTCCGAGGACTCGGGACTGCGGGGAAGCGTCCCTGGCCAAACGATGTGCGTCAAAAAGCTCAGTCAACCAGGCTTCAAGTTCTGGCGATGAACAATAGAGAGCGGAAAATCCGCTCAAGTATCAAAGAGGCACTTAAAGAGTGTGAGAGCGACGGGCGCGTGGTTCGAACTGATGTTCTTCTCTCGGCAGGTCTCACCGGACGCTTTAGATCCAAATACGAAGACACCATCAATGATCTTTCACCTCTCACTCAATTGGTATTCTTGTCAATGCTGCTCTTGTTGCCACCTCTTGGCTTGGATCGTTGCCCCAAACAGCCGGCACAGCACGTCTTTCGGTGTGAAGTCGGTCAGTAGCCGTGCAAAGACGATTGGCCTTCAACGTGAATCAGGTGAACAAAATCTGGCTGTCAACCTAATGTCAAATGCGAGCGCACCCACTTGCTGCAGGAGAGACGATCCAACTGAAAGAGTTTCCTCGGGGCGAAGAAGGCCACCCTCAGCCTTGCAGATCCGCAAAGTCGGTTCTGTCGAGTTGGAACCCCTTGCCCTGGAATGTTGGCGCAGGTTACGAGATAATGTTCTACTTGTAGCACTGGCCAGTCGTATAAGACCAGGGACCCCAGTCCTCACATTGCGCCATTTCCTTCTCGCATTTTCATGATGACTCTCTGCCACAACATGTTGCGGCTCCCGGCTGTGGGAGGTCTCACGCGAATTGTGCGAGTCCCCTTCAATTGATGGTTGAGGCGAGTACGCATCCGGTGAGGCACAATTATCTTCTCCTTCTAGTTGCCCGATATAAAGAGGTGTCGTGGTAGTACTTTGAAACTCGAGTCCCCCAATGCAAGCCATTACATGGTAGAGGCACGAGACATGCATGTTGATCCTTCACTGCACAAAGTCCACAGCATAACGCGAACAATGATATGGACGGAATCGGAAGGTGTAAATCGGCTGTGCATGAATGAACCTCCCACCATACCCCATGGAGATATGCTATCGACAAGACCTTTACATTTATGCAATGCTTTCGTGACAGTATCGGCTCAGCTCATCCGGGGCATCTTGTCCCACGTCAAACGTGGTCCCCATCTGTCGAGGTGCAGAACCAACAGATCAACAAGCCCTGTGTCGACATCAAGCCAGTGCTACAATGTAGATCAGATGTTGTTTCTGCGCAGCTGTTTGATACGGATTTGTCAAAGAAACCTCGTTATCGAGCATCGCGCCATCTGATAGAGCAACTATCTTGTTATCCGATAAGGAAACCAGCGGCCCGTTAAGGAGATCGCGAGCTTAATTCAGCATCTTGGGCTCGTGTTGTTCGGTGAACTCCAGATCTCCGTTGTGATGGCTCCGTGTAGATGACTGTCCGGTACGTGTTCCGGCGTCGTTTCTCCGCGACGCAAGATAATGGACGGCAAGGACGGATAAACCCTCTTCTGCAAAGACATATCATCCGTGAGAATGATTCCCGAAGTGAGTAATAGTGTCTACCGTGCATCCCGCCTGCAGCCTCGATCGATGATTTGCCCGCAACAGAAAGTGAGAGATCCACATCACATTTTCCATCGCTACCCTTGTGCTCTTCGCTCCAAGGCGGTCTTGAGACCCGGCGTTTTGTATTGCTGGACAGGCGCTCATCATGTGGCGCCTGCATGATGCAGGACAACCTCTAAGCCGGGAACAAATGCGCTTGGATCCTCCATATAGGGTTGTGTTGTACTTGCCAAATCGCAATCTACGCCATGGCGGCAGTCATGTGTCAGCTCCCACGACCTCCTGTCCCATGATCCAGAGAACTCAAATGAAGTATTGAGCAAAGAGCGGTCATGAAACTCGAGACAGAACTTGTCAATCGCTCAAATTAAGACATGATCTGCAAGCATGAAGCCATTTGCCCGCGGTTTCAGATGCCGACTTCGCGTGGCTTATATAACATCGCTCGGCACAGCTCGGCATCTCCTGAAGAAAGGCCTTCGGTACCGACCACAGCGCGGCCAACTCAGTCTTCACCGTTTGATCATCGACACTCCATTTCGACAGAATCCGCAAACCGACTCGTGGGACAAGGTCGTCTGGATACCAAAGAACCGGGTACGGCCGCTGCAGAGAAAATGATGTAACACTGGCAAGGATCTGGGGCAACCGGGTTGGCAAGTGGGAGGACAGCGGGG